AGTTATAATCAGCATCTACCAAAGCCATTAGCACAACACTGAAAGTATGCTTATAATTAAAATAATATGAACCGCTGTTGGCTGGAGGTTGTATGAGAACATGTTTACCATCTAAAGCACCAATACAGTTTGGGAATTGCCATTTGTTATTGAATTGATGAGCAATGCTTTTCCATTCATCTTCTGTTTTTGGAACCTGTGTAAATAAAAGTAATATAATATTTAATGATATACATGTAATTATAAATTTTAAATACACATAATGCATATTTTTTATTTCTTTAGAAAATAGATGAAATCGAATTAGAGGACACTGAGAGTGATGACACAATTCATTCTACAAAAAGACCTCTAGAAAAAAAACCTGGCTCTGCTAAACGTCGTAAAGAAGACCAAGCAGAGGATATTCTTATTAAGAAAGCTATTGACTATTTGGATAAGCCCATTGATTCACAGGGAAAGGATGCTGATGACATATTTGGACAGTTTGTCACTTCCGAATTAAGATCAATTAAAGATGACCAACAGAAACGAATAATAAAGTTTAAAATACAATCCCTTTTATATACATCATTAGTTTCTCAGCCAGCAATGAGTCCTCCAATGATATATAATCAAGTGACTTCTCCAGGTGGAGCTGTTAACAATCATCTCTTTTATACCCATCAGCATCAATCAAAAATATGGGAAAATTCTCGTTCTCCCACACCAATATCTGATAAAGGGAGTGTTAGTTCTTATGTTACTTCACCGAATTGTCCTTCAATTTTCAGTGAAGAAATTTGATAAACAGGAACAAGATCATTAAGTGAATTTAATTAAGATACTGTACATGCATGATTATTGATTGTAAACAATATTTTATCATTACCTGTATGTAGTGTTTCAATGCTTTCACAATAGCACGACAAGTATCTGGTACAATTTTACCGATTGTTTGAGCAGGAATACGATAGATATATTGCAAACTTGAGTATGACTCTCCTATTGATGCAATGAATGTAACATTTTACAATGTAATTGTAGATCGAAATACCTGTTGCTAGGAATCGAAGGGTTACGGCCAACCTTTCACCTGGAGGAATAGCCTGCCTCATGACAGTATCTTGCCTCTTAATTAGTGGCGATACAACTTCAAGTATTTCCTCAAAGCTTGCAATATCCATTCTTAGAAAGTGGTGATATGAAGTTAAGTCTGTCATGCGTAGCTCTTGTAGTAACTGATGGTAAGCACCTCTGTTTGTTCTATTTACAATCCAATCTCTAGTCCATATTGTTCTATTTCTTCTCCTCTGCT